AGGAGTGGGGCACCGGGTCGCGACCGCGGGGGAGATACCCCTTTATCTCAGTGCACGCGCGCCCGCCGTCGCCACCGGAGCGGAGCCCAGGAAGCCGCCAGCATGAACTCGTCGCGCGACCTGCGGCCCGGCCGCGACAAGCTGGGCGCCCACGCCGTCGTCTGGGACCAGCCGGTGGACCTGACGCCGCCCGCAGGTATTTGTTCCTCGCCACGCGCCGCCTGCCCGCCCCGCGGGGCAGCCAGCGCCGCGCCTGCCCGTTAGTACTAATGACGCGACATTGGTAACAAAACACCGATGTTTCTAAACATCGTTACGCAAAATTCAAACATCAATGTTAATAAAACATCGACCCAAAATCATCGGTAAACATTTTTAAAACTGTAACAATTGAAGTCCAGGCAGAGGAAAGGGTGATTTAATTTGAAAGTGGAATCGTTTATTCCTTTTTAATTGTAATTAACTGACAAAACAAAGGCAAAAAGTCATCAAGACAATTAACACAACTTGTATTATGTGGTTCGATTTCTTCTTTATTGAAAAAAAATCGATATAATTTTTCACCCTTATTCCTTTTGGCGTGAAGAATATTCAGTTTACGAATATCTTAACATTATTATAGAATTTGATGATGGACCTTTTTCATTTAAACACTATCGTCTTAAGCAAATCATTGAACACAAAACATAGATGTTGAAGAAACATCGGCTTCAAAAAATCGTTGTTAAGTACATTGATGATTTCATAAAAACATCGATGTTTTGAAAACATCGACACCTATGTTTCTGCGTGGTTATTTAGCACCCCCCTTTCGGTCTCCGCCTCCACGAAGACCCAACGCCAGATGAGCTTGATTGATAATTTTGTTTCCCGGTGCGTCAACTCTATGGCTGTTAGTGTCGTAAGTGTGATGCAAGTTATATCCGGAACGATGGTAATGTTCCTCTCAGCCTGGAACATGAGATCCGGTCGACTTGTGGGGTATTCTTCCTCGAGGTACCATCCCACAGGAGCTCATGATTTAAGTCGATTTGAAATTCACAGCTTATATATGGATTGCATGTACCTATTCTACTCATACTAAAAAAAAAATTTCGCATTTGCCCTATTTTTTATTTGTGCGGAATTCGTTGGCAGAATTTCTGTCTGAGAGGTTGTCAATCCTCCAGAAGCAAGTTGTTAGAGCAAGATGTTACATTTATTATCGCGTTTGTAGTTATGTAAATTGCTTTAAGAAACGAGTGATTTGAAACGGAAAATATTTAATTTTTCATATTGAACATTAAATTATATCGATGTTACCGAAATAATAGTGAATTTTTTTAAGACCCTCCTTCAATAAATATACTGAAAAATATACAAGTGTTTTTTTTACGGCAAGACACTCGTCTAGAATTTACCGACAAATAAATAAAATATATAATTTTCCGTGTGGTTATATTTATATATGTATCCAAAAAAATATTTGGAATTATGTCAATTTCTTTGATTAAACGTATATTCCATACACGTTTACGCAAAGCTTATGCAGTGTAAATTCTTTAAGCACTATTACATTAGAGACTTACACTTAAAGCATCCCTTGGAAATGAAACTTTACTTTTCTGATTATTTGAACAGAACTGTGAATAATTTATTGCTTAAATCATTTTGGTTTGGTTTTATACAATTTTATGAAAAGTTAACATCAAGTATAGCAAACGGAGCTAGGATTTTCCGAAAGATGATTCACGAGGGGGTACACGTTTTTTAATGACAACTTTCATTTCTAATTATTGAGCATTGTGTCTTGCAAAATACGGTTACTAAATTAACATAACATATTTTACTACCTAAAAAATTAATTACCAATAGGTTCTTTACTTATTATGAGAGAAACAGGTATTTTTTCCCCTAAGTAGGGCACGTTAGAGGTTTAGTACGGCAATGGAAGCATTTAAATAATCCTATCATCGTCTTATCTCCTAATGTGAGGGCAAACTCTTCCCAGAGGGTCTACTACGCATACACTCACTGGACAAACGTTGCACTGCGAGCCGGACCAAAATAGAAATCCCCTCTTCAGAGAACACCTCCAGTTTAGAGAGTATTTTTAAGGAACACACTGGGGAATCTCTACGTTTTTGTGTTCTGAAAATCAGGAAGTAATGCATATTTTTGACTTCCTATTTCTGAATATTATTTCAAATGTGCGCCGTTTCAGGAGAACGATTCAAAATTTATAGAATTTAATGACACATCCAGTATTTTTAGAATTTCTTTAAATTTTAAATATAATTAAATTTAAATCGTAAAATTGGTTTTTTGTAAGTAGTCATGTAAAGCAATATTGAACAATTATGTATAATTATTCATTTATGAGAGACTCATGAACAATAATTAACGAATCTATTATTTTAATAAACTATTCAGCAGACTGCATTATTCTAAAAAAAATGTGACTCTGAAATACATTTATCATATGTATACTGAGAGCATGCACGCGTTTCTTTCCAAGAAAAAATTGATACATATTAAATTATAAAGGCATATAAAGGAATAACCCATTGAGAACAAAGATTGTGATAGAAGGAAAGAGTATAGAACAGGTAAAATACTTCAAATATCTAGGTTGCCACATCTCGTTTGAAAGAGATATAGATTTAGATAAAAAATTAAATAAATTTAGAAATATATGCGGCACAAAACACAGACATCTAAAAAATAAAACTAGGATAGAAACAAGAATAAAATATTTCAACACACTAGCTGTGCCAGTGTTAATGTATGGAGATGAAGCAAGAGTAGCATCAAAAAAAGATAACTCTAAAATCCAGGCAGCTGAAATGAAATTTCTAAGAAGCACTCTAGGTTATAATATCCTAGATAAAAAGAAAAGCACAGAGATAAGAAATAAACTGGGGGTCGAACCACTGCTGGAGAAAGAAATCAGAAAAGATGGTATGAACGTTATGACTTATGATGGAAATCAGAAAAGATGGTATGAACGTTGAATGGTATGATGGTTCATACGAATGCCCGACAGCAGACTACGAGCACTCGCAGTGGACTACAGATGCAGAGAGAGAAGAGATGAAGGAAGGCCCAGAAGGAAGTGGACTCCGGAACAGGTTCTTGAACCTAACCCTTGAAGTGCAGAAGAAGAAGATTAAATTATAAAGTTCCTAATTCTATATTTTAAGCATTTGAAACAAATTCTATTGATTTTATTTCTGTAAGTGTGGACAAGTTAAAATACGAAATGAACTTTATTATGTCATGTCCAAAGTTTTAGCTTCAGCTACAAGAAAAGTAAGATGTTTGATATCAAAATAGTTTATCAAAAAATATTCAAATAAATAATTTATGCATTATATACCAATACTGTAACTGAATAAACGTTTATCATTAAAAATAACAATAAAGTAAATTAATCAAAGTTCTCTAAAGTGAACACATTCTGACAATGAAAGAGGGAAACAACTGTAATGTCAGATAAATGAATCTTGGAATTATGTTGTAGAGCTTTCTAATAAAACCTAGAAACGAAAATAGAAATAAAAATTCTGGAAGTTAATCATTGTACGATACTAAAGAATACTTGGCAAAAATAAGCTTCAATATTATTCCTACGATATTTAAATGCATGACCGTAAATCGTATCAAATGAGTTTATTTGTTGTGATATTAATTTATCTCTCAGAGCAGGAAGTTAACATTGTCTCGCATTTTGGACGGAGCAAGACAAAATTTGTGTACGTATGCTGAATGGCATATAAAAACATGTCAATGACCTCAACTTTTAGAATCACCATTCAATTCCATTGAAATGTATACGAGTATTGCCGTAAATTAAAATATGTCAAGATCTATCCTCTTTGACTTCTCTCAAAAGAATCAGCAGACATTTTGTATCTTACAGACATTACTTTTTTCTCCCGGTGGCTTTTTCCAGCATCTATGGATTCCGATTTTCGACTATCCGTGCCAGGTACCCACTACGTCCCTCATGAGGACACACATTAATCTTAACAGTAGACACACATGCGGGCTCCTCGGTCTGTGGTCCACTAGATTCGCAAGGCCTATCGCGACAAAGCACACTCACACACATGAAAGGCGAGGGACAACCAACCATGTCGACGGTGGGACTCAAACCCGCGACCCTTCGGAGCGAGGCGTTGAGTCGGCACACGCTCTAGCCCCCTCGGTCATCCAGGTCGGCGCGGGCATTACTTCTAATGCATGGCCATATTGTCTTCTGAGAAAGTAAACATGCTAAAGACTCAGGTGTTGCGCAAGTGTTGGAAATGGTAGCCCATTCAAAGGCAACCGGTCTCTTGGGAAACGGAGGGGGCACGGAAGAACCGGTTGGCGTATCGCGCCCAGAGACAAAAATCGTATTCTCTCGAAGCAGAATAAACGAGAAGCCGCCAGACTACGCCGTCTGAATTTGGAAGTATTACTCCTCAACAAAAATAGAAGCAAAACGTTTCGTTGCTGGAGAAGAAGCAACCTCGTAAAACGGAGGGGAAAAAATGCATGCATCCTACATAAAATGGACAAGTCGTGATTTCCGGATTCACTTTCGTTTTCATATCCACAAACTTAGTCACATTAAAATTATCCTTTACAGTCGACTTCCATGTGTAGAGACGTCTATTTCCGAACAGGCTTTGCTTGCTTTTTCAAAAAATATAAATGCACCCAATTAATACTAAGCGTTGGGAACTAAAGAGTAGAAATATAATATTCGCCATGAGTAAAGGAAGTCGGTGAATGACGTCGTGCGTGTTATGTCTTGGGAGGTAGCAATATTCCTCCCCTACTGAACCGTGAGATCCGGCGCTGATCTACTGCATTCGTCGGCTAGAGGCTGTTTCCTCTTGTGTCCCCCCCCCCGGCTGGGCATCGCCCCTGTCGGGACGATCTCTTAGCTTCTGACGTGTGTGGTATTATAGTGCATATAAGTGTATTTGTATGTGTGTGGATATGGAAGGGGAAAGGAGGGCACAAGGATGAGGAAAGATATATTGCGTGTGGTCTACGGCCGATTTATAAGAGTATTGCAGGCACAATATGCATTATTGCATATTGGTATTGATTGGAGAAACCACGGTCAATTACCGATCAGCAGCCGACCCCTTGATTTCTTCTTTAGACAAGTGTTGAATAAGACCCAGCTGTCGAAAATCCACAACAAAATAGTAACATGCC